TTTCTTTCCTTTTTTTTTTTTTCTCCTGCAGATGGGTTATTTTGTTTTGACTTCAGCTATATTCACAATTGTTTCTCAAGAGAGGTGTTTGTTTTTATACCTGGGAGCTGAGGCTTTTTGTAGAAGATGAGTTATAAAGTGGTTAATCAGAAGGATGGAGAGCAGCTTGAAATGAGACCTGCACCTTTCCAGCGAGAGTGACATTGTACTTCTCAGCTGTAGAGGCTGTATTGATTAATTCATGCTGCCTTGGAATGCTATTGTGCTACTTACCTTAGCTCCAGCAGATGGTGTTTTTATAATGAAGTGGAAAGGGTTTGAAATAATGAGGCACAAAAATGATCACTACTGGAGCAATAGGAAACTCCATCTTCTTAACAAATGTAAAAAGTGGTCAGTGCAATGGCAGAGTAGCAAATCACAGTGACTGCTCTGCTTCCTTCATCTGAGATGATGGGGAAGGCAATGTCTGTATTGAAAATGAGAACACAATGAGAGTTTTACACTACTCCAGATTCCTTGGACAATGTGATGAGTAAACTTAGACAATGAGCAGTATATCAGAAAACCAAACTGATTATGCTCTGCTTGAAGAGGGGTGAGGAGGCAGCTCTTCCTCATGCCCTCAAAAATCCACATCAACACCAAGCCCCAAACAAACTGTCAGGCTCTTTCTTGACTGTTTTGTAAGCAAGCAGTCTGGTGTGCATCTAGCTATAATCAGCTGGGTTTTTTCTGAGAGAAAGGAAACCAAATCTCTTAATGTTAGTGGAATTGTACCATGGGTATCTATCTTGTGGCATATTCATTGTAGGAAGAAACTGGAGGAGGAGAGGAGAAGGAGGAAGGAGACTCTTGTCCTTGACAACATTCTTGTTGTCTATATAAAGTAAGTTTGATTGAAAATACTTATTTGAACTGAATGAAAGAGAGGATCAAAACTATTGTATCACACCTTGTGGGTAAAAGGGGTGAAGGAAGGGTACAAAAATCTCATTGCCTTTGAAACAGCATTTTCTAGCAGCAGAAATTGTCAGCTGCTAGTCAGAATTCTTAATGGCTTTTATGTAAAACAGACAAAACACCTAAAACCAAACCCCACTTGAATGGTTCTCAGCATTTATGTATCATTCTCCATTCATACCCATCAAGTACTTCTACAAGCTCTGAGTGACTTCAGCTGGCAAACTACCAAAAAGTAGTTATTAATATTTGCCCCTTACAAATGGAATGGTCTCAAGCCTAGGTAATTTTGAATTGTAATCTTCAGAGCTGTTGCCTTCCTACATCCCAGCTGAAGACCAGGGTACCTGGAGGAGCTTCTCCTAAGAGAGGATAGAACTGGACTGAGTTGGGTATGTGCTGTGCTGACACAGGTAACTGAGCTGAGAGCAGGGCCAGGAGACTTTGCCTTTCTCTGCACCTGCCCTTTCCAGAAAGCTCTAAATGACTTGCCAGGAACAGAAACCAGATCTGTGCCGTGGTAGTGATCTTTCTGCTCTCTGCGTGTATTTTTGAGATGAATACATGTTAAAACTTACCTTGTAACCATAAAAATCAGTAAAAATTACCCTGCTTGGAATAAAAATATCAGACCCACTTGTGGTTATTTAGAAGAGGAAAAAGTCATCACGTGCTGCATTAGTGATGAGGCCTATGCAGCAGAGATTTTTAGGAGATGCTCTGTATTCTCAGTGCAGCACTGATGGCTACTCTGGGGCACAGCTATTTAAAATAATAGTTTCACTTCATTAAACTATGAGTTTCTTCAATACAAAGTACAGTCCAGAGAGAAGTTTTCTTTTAGTATACTCTTAAGAAGTCAACAGTCCATTGCTTCCTGATGTATATCCTTGACTGTGGGAACAAATGCTGCTGTAACTACTCTGAGTCCCATCCTTTTTCAAAGAGGTAAAATGTTTCTCTAATTAAAAAAAATTGGGATTATTTGTCTAAATTTTTCTGTGTAACCTGAATTAGAGAACTGTGGATTTGGGTCCCAACGTAATATGCATGCAATTAAAAAATCAATGTATAAAACAGAGCCCAGAAGAGAATTATATTTAACAGGAGACAGAAAATCAAAACAGATTCCAAACAAATTAGAAATTAACACTGCAGCAGCTTGAGCTGAGTTTGCCTTGTAGGGGAAGCTTATTAATGTAACTAAGGTGATTTTTTTTTTTTTGCTGGAACTCCTCATCAGTATTGTTTGCCCATGCCACTTCTTTGTTTGGTGACTTAATACAGCAATACATGTGGCAGATCAACAATGGTAAAATGGCAAGAAGATAATTAAAGCTTTATTTTACAACATGTTGGAACTTTCAATATATTGGAAGGTGCTGATGCAAATGCTGAGCACCTGATCTGTACCAATATCACCCAAAAGAAGCAATACAGCTTTTAGTGTAGAGAAATATCCTGCATTTCCCAGATCTAATGAAGTTTATTGGATCCTTAATTTATTTTAGAAAACGATCCAAGTGCTTTGCATTTGTTTAACCTAATCCAATCTTAACCATTGGTAAGATGTAAGTCCTTTGTCTTTCATGTCACACGGAGAAAGATCTACTAAATGTATTGCTTTTGGAAAAGAACCTGTGTTTACAACAGCAACCAAAACAATGAGAAAACCACCCTCTTTCATACAGGTTCAAATAGTTTAAAAAGCACTGGAAGTCTTACAACTGTTTGCTAACTAAAATATTTATAGGAACGGAGGGTTCAGGGGAGACCTTATTACTATCTGCAGCTGGCTGACTGGAGAACAGGGAGGAGACAGAACCAAACTGCTCTCACAGGTGCACAGGGACCACTCCAGAGGCAATTGGTGCAAGCTGAAACTTAGGAAATTCTGGTTAATTATAAGGAAAAATTGTTTTACCATCTGTAGCAGCTGAAATGACTCCAAGGTATTTGATTTGACAGTATGCATGGCAAAATCATTTGCATCTGGGGCAGTATGTGTCAGGCTGTTTTTCATGGAGTTTGGAAGAAAAGAAGCAACAATGGGATTGTTTCTGTATTTCCCAATGTCAACATAGTTGAAAATAACAGGAGTTAGAATGCTGACTTCTGATGCTGAAAAATGAAAATTGGAAAGATAGACCTGTTTTAATTAAAAAACCCCCAACCTAACCAAACCACACCAAAAAAACCACAAAAAGAAGAAAAAGAAAGTAATTCAGGATATGGCCTCATGTTATGAACTTCTTTATGTGTCCATGCTTTGGTAGGAGTAGGAACATCTTCAATGTTACAGGTTGACAGTGGAATATATTTTACTCTGACTTTTCAATGAAATCCAACACAGATTCAGGGCTTTCCCCAGTGCTTTCCTTCAGGTAACCTGTGTTGCAGTGGCAAGTGTTTTATGGACTTCTCTGTTCCTATGCCCAGTTCTGTTTCTTGCCTTCCTGATCCTATACCATTCCTTGGTGACAGTGTCCATTAATGAGCAGCATGTGCTTCTTTATCTTTACTGACTGAGATTTTTTCTGTCTGAAGCAAGTGAAGAAGCTCGTACAAGGTCAGCTGGTTATTTACAGCTATCCAGTAGTCCACTGAATGTCTGCTCTGGGTACCTGGGTCCATAGGTCCATTTGGATGGACATCTTAGAATGTGTTTGGTGTATTTAAGCACCTCTGCTCCTTTCCTCCCTTGAGTTACTACAGCATTTTTCTCTTTGTTTAATTCATTTAAAAAAGAAAATGTTTAATGAGCCCCACTTGTGATTTTCCAACTGTTGGGCTGAAAACTGTCATTTCTAAGAGGTTATATTAATGGTGCTGTTATCTCTTGATCATGTCAATGTTAATGCATGTATGTGCTGTTTCTGCCTCATTTCCACATTATTACAAGCCTGCATTTGGCAAATGAGGGTATGTTTGCTTTCTTGATTAAGAAGGTTCTAAGAAATTTTTACATGCTTGGTAGGACATAACTTATGAAAAGAGCTGGCTTAGAAGAGAAGCTCAGCAGTAGAGATTCTTAGCATTTCCCTAATACTTTCCTCTGCTGGGCAGAAAGCACTTTGTGAATACTAATGAAATCAGCTTTGCATTACCCTAGTGAAGAAGCTGTGTGTTATTCCTATGAGGAGATGGAGGCACAGCATGATTAAGTGACTTGTCTGGATTCATATGGCTGCTGGGATTCCAGCATTTGCTCAGGTGTTGGCTTTCAGCACTAGACCCAAAGATCAAGCTGGAACACAGTGCAGGCTTGGTAAAGTCTTTTTTTAAACTTCTTTTTCTCCTTCTTTCTTTTTCTTCCTGGAAGCTACTATTTTGTGTCCTAAAAGCAAAGGTCTTGTTTAAATTAAAATGTCTCTGCTCTTTTATGGGGGGGAAGTTAATATCCAAAACATGACCTGCATGTAATCAATTCCTGTAGTCAGCCTGACATAAATATTAGAGAGGATTGAACTGCAGATGTTTCTCCCATGATGGGTTGGTTCAAAAGGTTGTCATGAAGACTTGGATGATGATGGCAGCCACTGAACTGTTTTTCCTCCAGTCAAATGAGGCAAGAAAGAAGCAGGGTGGGCACACTAATGTGCTAGAAGAGACTGTACACATCCCATCTTCTGCATCAGAGGGAATGGATATTGGGTTGTATGGGAATTCCCTTTTCTTTCCACTCTGATCCCTTCCTGGGTCACAAAGGGAAGAGCTGACCCTTGGAGGTGATCAGTGGTGCACCTTCATTCAGTCACCCAGTGATGACCATCATTTAATGATGTTCTTTTCTGAAGAGCTTTCCCATGTCCCTTCTTCTGCTGTAGCATTTGAAAGGAGCAGCCTTACTATATGCTCTCTTGTATAATGCTGGTTATGTCTTACTAAGGTTGTTTGAGTAGCTATTGTAGTTTTGCTTCTGTAATATTATAATAATATTTGTAATATTATAATAATATTTTTCTGTATGGTCTTCAGAAAGAGCTGAGAAACATATCAATAATCTTCTGTGGTTGTGAGTTTTTTCCTTTATTTAGGAATAACTGACCTATCTAAGTAAGCATTCTGACTGCTAGACCACATTTCCTTTGGAGAAAGGAACAGATTGGCTGCTGAGAGAAGAGAGAGTGAGTATGATGTTTTCACTTTGAGATTTGGGGACATTGGGAGAGGGAGAAACTTGGAATCCTGTTATATATAAAATAGTAATAAATTGGAAGGAAGGACTGTAATTCAAGTTGTTTTCCTCTACTAGTGTACATTGGGTACTGTGCTCCTCTCTGGTGAGTGAGTGTGTAACTACTCAAAATGGAGTAGATCTGCCTAATCTGTATGAGTGCAAGCAATGCTCTTTCATCTTTGCCCCAAGTAGCTTGTTGCTGGAGAATCCTCCTTGAAGCAGGGTGTGCTTGAGTTCCCTCTGGCAAGAAGGGACCTGAACCTTTGACTTTCTGTGTACTTGATCCCAGGCTTAGGTGGGCTGTGTTAGAGCAAAGTTTAAAGACATCTCATTCCCAGTGAATCTGTAATTGCTGGCCAGGTCAACAGCTTTTTGTGTGTCAGTAGAAAACATTGCAGGCTGCTGGGGGACAAGTGTTGGTTAGCACAAAGGATGGTTAAAAAACCAGGAGTGGTGTTTCAAGAAGGCTTCTTTCCATTGAAAAAAATAGTGAGACTTTCTGAGGTGTATAGGGAGGTCCATCTCTGCAGCTGAAAGAGAAGGCACTTTGGAGAAATGGGCTTTTTGTGCTCTCAGCACTCCCTGCTTTAGGAGACTCCTGTTGTGTTTGTGGGAGTTCCTGTAATTACCACGGGAGTCAGAGTCATAACAATAGAGAGCCCTGAACATCCCAGATAACTAATAAATCATGGCAGGAGGAACTTGGGAGGGAGTGGTGGTGTTACTTTGCTTTTGGACTCTGTACTGGGTGGTGACCCTGGTCCTGGTGTGTGTTACAATTGGGTTATGCTTCAGCTGAAGCCTCACAGAGGGCTCAGTGTTCAGTGGATGGGTTGTTGTGGTCCCCCTTCTGCAGGACCCCATGGTTTGTGTGGTGTGTAGGGATCCATGGGAGTGTTGTTCAGGTGTCCTGTGCTCCTTTACAAGGCAAAACAACGCTAAAACGTGGGGAACTACAAAACTCTGCAGAGACATTTAGTGGCTGCAGCTTTAATTTCTTTCGAACTGATGCACTTCAGTGCTGTGCTGAAAGAACACAGGGCTATAATTAGTTGAGTCCTGTTTTTCTGATAACTACTTAAGCCTTAATATCCTGAAAAGCATGGTATTTTTCTATAAAAAAGGAAGGTTTATGTTCTGTAGTTCCATAGAACCTCATTCTTAAGGAGAAGCAGTCCATTATTACATAGAATAGATTTCCTGCATGCTTTTCAACATTATTTGCTTAATAGAATCATTGGTAGCACAATTGCTTATAAAGAAAAGTGCCAACTAACCAGAAAAATGCTCTGCAGGTCTTAGGCTGCAGTGAGTATAATGCTGCTATGTACTTGATAAGCAAGGAGATCCTTCCATATTTATTTTGAAAGCTGGTATCATGTTGATAAGCTGAAGGCTTCCTTAAAGCAAGGTTTTAGGACAGTCAAATCCTACCGAACTTGTAATTGCTGTTTGCTGGCAAGGTCAACAGCTTTCAGATCTCAGAATACTGAATGGTTGGAAACCCATGCTATCCAAATACAGCTGCAAATATATCACCCTCTACCTCTGCTCCACCCACACATCACAAATAGCTATGGGAGGAAAACATCTACTGCTGAGCAAGAAGATTCCTAAATGATAAGCATCAATAATTTAATCAACTATAATTTATTCCTTCATTACTCATTGCACTACGGCTAAAATGAACGTCTTCGTGCTTTGCTTTTTCTTTTCAAGCAGTATTACCATAAGTACAGGTTCCTTTTTTTATTCCTGCAGATTCAGTGCATCTACAGGCAACAATTTATCACAGCAGTGCCAGCGAGTGTGTGCAAAGAATGGCAGGCTGAGAATTGCTCTGCTCACAAAACCCATGGGTAGGCAATCTCTACAGAGCGCAGGACACAGGGGAGGGGAGGAAATGTGCTTTTGGTTAGATAGGTAATTACTCACACTGCCCATCAGGAGTTTTATTGTGAATTATTTTTCTTTTTAATCTGTGAAGTAGCTGACCTAAGGTTTGTACCTCATTCTAAGGAGAACCTGTATAGTTTGCATAATTTGCCCTTAAATTGGCTACTGAACCCAAAATGCCGCTGTAACAATTGCCATCAAGGAGAGGCAACATGGCTTGATAGTGTCTGTACCTGTTAGACAGTCTGTTCATTGCAGCTTAGTGTTGAATAAAATCCATTTTAGTTTGTGTGAGAAGCTAGACACTTCAACAAAAAAGAAGTCTGAAGATAGGGTGTTAGTCTGAATGTCCAGGCTTCCATAACCCATTGTAGTAATATTGCATAGAGAGGATACGAAAGCACAGGCCCCATCCAGTGGAGTTTTAGATATCTCCAAGAATAAAGCTTCTCCACCCACTTGGCCCCTGTACTGGTGTTTGATCACCTGCATGGTGGAAAAAAATAAAACAAGAACTATGCAAATATCTCATCAGAATTTCAAGAACTAGTCTTGATTTGGTGTTGTCTGCAGACTTGTGGAGAATATTGTGTAGGTAATTTAAAGAAGGGTTTTAAATAGCATTGAGTTTAATATCTGTCTCAGACGTTAGTGGTGGCAGCAGTTGGATGTAGTGCTGTTGATCCTGAGACCGGGGTTTTTCACTTTAGCCAGTTATGCTGTGTTTATAGGATTGGAGCAAAATCTGATGACTTTAATGTTTCACCTTGTTTTTGTAACGTGCCTGGATGTAGTTCCTCTCTCGTTGGTTAATGTCCCCCATGCCCTCTCCATTGAAAAGAGCAAAGCAAGTGGAGTCTTGTCACTAATGTGTCACTTATGAGCCATGCAGTCATAACTGATGTTGAGATGTATCTCGGTGTAGCTCAGCAGTGCTGGTCTGAAGGGCCCTTTTCCTCTTTTTCCTTCTTTTGCAGAGCACCCTTGAGAATGGGCCATTCTTACATCGCATGGCTTGTATTTTGGGAGCAGCAGATTCTTAGCAATTCCAGCTTTCATGGGTTTGGGAGCAAAATATCACTAGGCTGCTGCTTTGTGGTGTGTAGAGACCAGTCAGGATGAGGGTTGGGAGGGCGCAGGGAGGCAGCATGCCCAGAATGTCAGCAGTATCATCCACCACAGCTCTCACTGTTCTCGTGTTGCCTTGACTGTCTCCTGCCCATGTTCAACTACTAATGATGGCCCGAGGGTCAGTGTTGGTTGTAGAGCAGGGTTTGGGAGTAGTTTATTTTAGCAGTGATGTCCTTTAGTTACAAAGGAGTGGAGGTTACTTAGATCCTGTTAATCACTTTGAATATCAGGTGCTCTAACCCAGGGGTGGGTAAACAAGTCAGATGTCAGGGAGCAGAGAGGTTGAAGTGCTCTGCAAGGGCAGGTGAGCTGGGGAACCAAGGGTGATGCTGAGTCTGGCAGAGCAGTGACCTCCCAAACCAAGGGCGAGAGGCCTCAGCTCAGACCTCTCCTGTGTCTTTCCCACATGTGGCTCTTCCCAGCAGTTGGATCCCAGGGTATCACTCCGCCAGATCAGAGAAGGCCCTGAGCAGCCAAACCCTGCCAGGGAGAGGTTGCACAGTGTTTTGATGCACCTGGACCATTACATTTTAGCAGGAGATGTGAATCTCTCTAATTTGTGCATCTGAGACTTTTTAAGTGTTACTGAACATTCACAGTAAGACTTGTTATTTTATCATGTGAAGTGTTTTCTTAGAGTTGATAAAAAGAATTAGGACCTGAAACTCAGTGTGTTTTATCTAGCAACTTAATCAGCTGTGAGACTGACTGTGCAAAGCAGATCATAGGCTGTTAATGAAGATTCCTCTGATATGTGTAACACCTGAGGTATGTTGACAGCAGACAGAAATCAAAGGAAAAATTTGTGTTTTTCAGCTACAGACTTGACAGAAGGTGAATTTTAAGAGCAGTAGTGTCAGCCTGAGCACAATGTCTGACTATATTATAGTATGGGAACTTTATTTCCAGATTAATAACACGAAAGAAAGGGGATAGTGTTTACAGATCAAGAGGCCAAATCTGTAGCTTCATCTCCCTGACTGAGAGCAGGACCATCTGTTTCTTGATAACGTTTGCAAGTGTCAGCTTTTGTTGCATTCCATCTTCCTTGCTGCTCAGGGAAAATCACTTGCTAATTAACAAGAAGAATCTCCTGGCATGTAATAAATATAGAGACCTTTCCTTAAACCTTTTCAGCTTTACTGAGAGGTGTCTAGTCTTCAGATGGCCAGCTCTTAACAAATGATGGTACATGTCATAGGTAGCTGTCATGTCCCCTGTGATCTGATCTGCTCTACTCAGGAGAATGGCAACGTGTTTGGAAAACGCATGGCCTTAGTCATGGTTCTGCTACTCTGCTGGCCAAATGACAAGGCAACTCTTGCTTTTACTGCTTTCCCACTATTTTTCTTGCCATAATGTTTTCATACTTGTTAAAATAGTATAGGTTTGTTGTGTTACTGGGGCTGTGTGGTCATACTTTCAATTCCAACTGGCTCCTCTTTGTTCTGTGCAGTTACTATTCAGAAATTTATTGTGTTATTTATTTGTTTTTCCAGATCCTTCCGCAGCAGTGTTGTATAAAATGGAGTCTAATGTTGATCCTTGTGGAAGCACACTTACAAATAACATTCTTGTTCAAAACACCACTTCCCAACATTGTTCACTGCTTCTGATTTCCAGTTAACTTTCAAACCATCTGACAGTACTTCTGTCCAAACCAATTTGGTTCAAGCATTTTAGTGATTTTGTGAGGGACTGTTTGATGGAAGTCAAGATATTGCATCTCCTGTGTTCCCTTCAGCTATTATTTTTTTTTTTTGTAATTTGATCAAACAAAGCACTCAATCTTTCTTGTCCCAATTTGTTTTATTTGCCATAGTGCCATTGCAAGCAATAGCCCAGAGCGTAGGATCTTCATCGTGGATTGAAGCAGGAATGTTCTGGTGACAGTTACCAGGGTTGCTGTCATTTCTGCCT